AAGTTAAAGCCATTGGCGTTGGACAGGCCACACTTCATCCTTCTTTATCTCTTAATTCTGTTCTTTTTATCCCTGGTTGTCCATTCAACTTGGTTTCTATCAGTCAACTTACACGTCGTCATAATTGTGTTGTCACCTTTATTGATAACTCTTTTTCTATACAAGACCGGAGTACGGGACAGACGATTGGAGCCGGATTTGAATCTCAGGGTCTATACTACTTTCATACTTCCCCTTCCTCTTCAGTTGCTTGCACTGCTATGGAGTCTCCTTCTTTGCTTCACCAACGTTTAGGTCATCCTAGTCTCAATAAACTGAGGAGAATGGTACCTCAAGTCTCCAATTTACAGTCCTTAGCCTGTGAGTCATGTCAAATTGGTAAACATGTTCGAACCACTTTTCCAAAAAGTCATAGTCGTGCAGAATCTCCCTTTTATCTTGTTCACTCAGATGTTTGGGGTCCAAGTCGTGTCAGTTCTGTTTTAGGATTTCGGTACTTCGTTATCTTTGTTGATGATTTTTCAAGATGTACATGGCTTTATTTAATGAAAGAACGTTCAGAGTTATTTGGTATTTTCAAAAGTTTCTGCAATGAAATAAAAAATCAGTTTGATCATAGCATTCGTGTTCTACGTAGTGATAATGCCAAGGAGTATTTCTCAACAAATTTCAATGAATATATGGCTACTCAAGGGATAATTCATCAATCCACATGTCCCCACACGCCTCAGCAAAATGGGATTGCTGAAAGAAAGCATCGCCATATCATTGAAACAGCACGCACACTACTGGTTCATGCCAATGCCCCACTAAAATTCTGGGGAGATGCTGTACTCACAGCTGCTCATTTAATCAATCGAATGCCATCTTCTACATTGGATAACAAAGTACCGCACTCTATCTTGTTCCCAAAAGACCCCATTTTCCTTGTTCCTCCTAAAGTCTTTGGTTGTACTTGTTTCGTGCAGGATCTTTCCCCTGGTCTTGACAAATTATCTCCACGAGCAATCAAGTGCATATTCCTTGGCTACTCTAGAGTCCAAAAAGGGTACCGTTGCTATTCACCTTCTACTCATCGTTTCTATACTTCTGCAGATGTCAGTTTCTTTGAAGATCAACCGTATTACACTTCACCAATGGAAGTCAAATCTGTCTCTCAGGTCTTACCCATTCCTCATCTTACTCCATTGTCACCTCTCAATCCTCCATCGTCTTCTGCCAAACCAGTCATTACTTATCAGCGTCGACCGCGGTCTGCACCTAATGAGGATGTCCCTAATACTGACCCTGCTGATTCACCTCCAGCTCCTTTACCTACTCCGGACCGACCTGAAGCACCGACTCAACCTGATTTTCCAATTGCAACCGGAAAAGGTATACGTTCCACTCGGAACCCGCATCCTATATACAACTGTCTAAGTTATCATCGTATATCGCCTTCCCATTACGCTTTTGTGTCTTCCATCTCTTCTGTTTCCATTCCTAAAACTGTCCAGGAAGCTCTTGCCCACCCAGGATGGCGCCAAGCTATGCTTGATGAGATGGCTGCCCTCGAAATAAATCGTACTTGGTCTCTTGTTCCCCTGCCCCATGGTAAATCTACTGTTGGTTGTCGATGGGTATTTACAATCAAAGTTGGTCCTAATGGACAAGTTGACCGGCTGAAAGCGCGTTTGGTTGCTAAAGGGTTTACACAAGTGTTTGGCTTGGATTATGGTGACACTTTTTCTCCTGTTGCAAAGATGGCTTCTGTGTGTTTGTTCTTATCCATGGCAGCTATGCGTAACTGGCCCTTACATCAGTTGGACATAAAAAATGCATTTCTTCACGGTAATTTAAAAGAAGAAGTTTACATGGAGCAACCACCTGGGTTTGTTGCTCAGGGGGAGTGTAGATATGTGTGTCGGTTGCATAAGGCCTTGTATGGTCTTAAACAGTCCCCACGAGCGTGGTTTGGCAGATTCAGTACGGCTCTCAAACAGTTTGGGATGATTCAATGCAAAGCAGACCACACTGTGTTTTATAAAAGATCTTTATCTAATCAGTCTACTTACCTTGTTATTTATGTTGATGATATTGTAATAACAGGGAATGATCATGATGGCATACAGAATCTTAAACTATACTTGTCCCAACAATTTCAAACAAAAGACTTGGGACAACTTCGTTACTTTCTTGGAATTGAGGTAGCTCAATCCAAAACTGGCATTGCCATATCCCAAAGAAAATATGCTCTTGATATTCTGAAGGAAACCGGGATGACAGATTGTAAGCCGATTGATACTCCAATTGATCCAAATGTTCGACTTCTGCCAGATCAGGGAGAGCCTATCTCCAATCCTGAAAGATATCGACGACTTGTGGGAAAGTTAAATTATCTCACTATGACCAGACCAGACATCTCCTTTGCCGTGAGCGTGGTTAGTCAGTTCCTCAACACGCCATGTGATAGTCATTGGGATGCAGTCGTTCGAATCCTAAGATACATTAAAGGTTCACCTGGAAGAGGACTGGTTTATGCAAACCGGGGTTATGACAATATTACTGCGTATTCAGATGCGGATTGGGCTGGGTGTCCAAACGATAGGAGATCAACTTCAGGGTACTGTGTTCTCATTGGTGGAAACCTAATTTCCTGGAAGAGCAAGAAACAGAGTGTCGTTGCTAGATCAAGTGCTGAAGCAGAGTATCGAGCCATGGCTCTCACCACTTGCGAACTTATATGGTTGAAACAATTATTATCTGAGTTAAAGTTTTGCAAACTGAAGCCTATGAAACTGATCTGTGATAACCAGGCAGCTTTATACATCGCTTCTAACCCTGTCTTTCACGAACGAACAAAACATATAGAAATCGATTGTCATTTTATCCGTGAAAAGGTCATTTCTGGAGAAATCTTCACATCATTTGTCAATTCAAATGATCAGTTAGCTGACTTTCTCACTAAATCACTCCGCGGTCCGAGGATAAGATATATTTGTGACAAGCTTGATGCATATGATATCTATGCACCAGCTTGAGGGGGAGTGTTGAGATTTGATATGATTATAAATAATATCCTTCTTGATTTTAGCATTTACTGTACAGATTGTATCAAATCAGCAGTTAGTAATTGATAGATGTACATTTGATTCTTTCCTTGTAAGTTGTAATTCTGAACCTTATAAATAAAGATCAGCTGAGAGTAGTTTCTCTCAAGCAAATTCATTCAAATCAGTAAATTCAAGTGTACTCTTCCTCCAACTCGTTGTCATCTTGTTGTTTCTTCAACTCCACCATGAGACCAGTTTTTTGGTATCATGCATGTCTGAAGCAAGGATAAAGGAGGAGGGTGTTGTGGTAGGCGCGTGACAGCCAACAGTATTACTTAGTCACATCTCATGACTTAATAAAACTTAATATTTTAGCCCATTATAAACACACAAATCCCATTATTAACAACCCTAACAAAAAAAATTAAACAAACAAATCCTGCGGAGTGCGGGCAGTAGAAGTTAAAGATGGCAGTCTGCGACAAAAATTTCTTAACTTGAATACAAGTTATAACATTCTCTAAAAATTTCTTAGTTATAACCATTCATGACTAAGAAATTTATCAAAGCTCTTAAACAACTTTAGTATAGCTTTAGTTAAATCCTTCTGTTGTATAAAAAAGAAATAGCTTTAGTTAAAACTCTTAGGCTTCAATGAAATTTAGCTGTTTATAGCTAAAAAACAGTTCTTATTTGAAGTTTAGTTTAATTTAACTAACTGAAGAACAATAGTTTAGTTTAACCAACTCAAAGAGTTTTGACTTTATAGTTTATGTTAAAATAAAGTTTTTACTTTATAGTTTTTACTTCAGCAGTTCAGCTAACTTTATAGTTTATACAATTATGAAGTACTCGTATAACTTCAATTTACAAACAATTTTTTTAGCACTTAGCACTGTTAAATTGTATGTTAGCAGTTAGCACTTATAAGTACTTTATAATTGGGAAAATGGAAATTAATAATCCAACCTTTTAGCAGTCTTCTTACAATAATCCCACCTTTTCATTATTCAAGAATAATCCAACCTTTGCACCCCATCTTCATTCGTTGATCCCTGACCTGTTAATGACCTGCTATTCCAAGTTATTTTCTTATCTTTGCAAAATATTATCTTTGTGAAAGGTGAGATTTATGGTATAATGATTTGCAAAGATAAGAAAATAACCTGGAATAGCAGGTCATCAACCGATCAGGGACCAGTGAATGAAAATGAGGTGCAAAGGTTGGATTTTTCATGAATAACGAAAAGGTGGGACTATTGTGAGAAGACTACTAAAAGGTTGGATTATTAGTTTCCATTTTCCCTTTATAATATTATAAAGTTGATGAGATTTAGACCAAGATGATGAGGAGTGCGATGATTGATGATGATTATGCCATAATCTGATAATCATCAAACAAAAACAAGCTAACAAACCTAAATCCTAACATATTTTGCAAGACAAGAAACTTTTTTTTGAATATTATCTTCTTGGAAGTACTTTAAACTATTTTAACTTCACATGTTTTGCTTAGAATGTTGTTATTCAACTTTTTTATCATGTTTTGATGGTAGGGTTAATGAATTGCGGTGTTTATCATTCATTTTGAAGTTTTTTGTTTTTTTTGTCACGTGGCGAAGCCATATTTGCGCCATCGCCATGGGAAATGGCTTGTGCGCCATGGATTGCACCATGCGCCATGACAACTATGTATATGACTATCTTTTGCTCCAAAGAAGCCAAAGGAAAAAGGCACAAACAAACATAGTTAAGAATCACAATCTTTGAAATTTGTACCATATGTCTAAGAAACTATTCTTATTACTTATTGCTTATTGTATTCAGATCATGTCAGATCAGAAAAATTCATATCAAATCAGATAAGAAACATTCAGATCAGACCAGAAAGATTCGGATCAAATCATACCAAATCAGATCAGAAAAGTTTAGGCATAATTTATCACTTTTATTATCATGATTATTATTATAATAATACAATAATTATTACTATTATTATTACAATTACTAAAATTTAATTTGTAATCATAAGTATAATTGTAATTATAGTTATTATACTTTTAATTGTAATTATAATTACAATTGGTATAACTATAATTACGATTAAAATTAGTATTATTACAAATTACATTTTAATAATTATAATTATAATTAAAGATATAATTATAATATCAATTATATTTATAATTGCAATTAAAATTATAATAATTTTAATTAAAATTTTAATTAAATGCAGTACATCCTGTGTTTCACATATCCTTGCTAAAGAAATCCTTGACAAACAATGCACAGTGCCAACCACTGCCAAGTAGTCTGTCTAAAGAATAGGAGTTATAGGAACAATTAGAGCTGGTAATGGAGGTAAGAAGAAACCAGGGCGGAGAGTGGGAAGTCTTAGTGCACTGGAAACATTTGCCAGACTTTGACTTTGAGGACTCTTGGGAGGTTCTAAATCAGTTCAAACAGCAATTCCCAGATTTTCACCTTGAGGACAATTTGGTTTTTGAAGGAGAGAGAGATGATAGAGATCCAGACAAAACAGAAGAGCCCATTATTAATAATAAGGAAAGATTTTTCTAAAACAAGAGTAAATCAAAGGCGGGGTAAAAGAGTAAATCAAGTAGTTGGAGAGGGAGAATGTCCTACCTGAATTGTATTATGTGGAAAGGGGAGAGAATATAGGCGGGAGAAGAGGAGAGAAGAGAAGAGGGAGGCTGTTAGACACTGGAATTGGGTGGGTGAGAGAGAGGGGCTCTTAAAAACTCTAGCTATCTTCATTATTTTACTGTATTTCTTCTTCTTCTGTTGTAATTCGTGTAACTCGGATTTTGTTGATCCAGATTTTATTTCAATATACAATTACAGAGATTGGAGTTTAGTGTTCTATCAGCAATTCAGCACCCTCTGCACTAGCCATATGCCCATATGACTATCTTATGCTCCAATGAAGCCCAAGGAAAAAGGTACAAACAAACATAGTTAAGAATCACAATCTTTGAAATCTGTACCATCTGTCTAAGAAAATGCTATGTTCGTCTTATTCTTATTACTAATTGCTTATTTTATTCAAATAAGGTCAGATTAGAAAAATTCAGATCAAATCAGATAAAAAACATTCACATCAGACCAAAAAGATTCAGATCAAATCATACCATATCAGATTAGAAAAGTCCAGGCATGATTTATCACTTTTATTATCATGATTATTATTATTATTATTATAATTATTATAATTATTGCTATTATTATAACTATTACTACGTATTATAATTTATAGCTATAATTATTAATATGAATAAACAATTACAATAATTATAATAATTACTAAAATTTAATTTGTAATAATAACTATAATTGTAATTATAGATATTATACTTTTAATTGTTACTATAATTACAATAAAAGTTATTATTACAAATAACATTTTAATAATTATAATTATAATTATAGATATGATTATAATTACAATTATATTTATGATTACAATTAAAATATTATAATTATAATTATAATTAAATGGAGTACATCCTGTGTTCCACATATTCTTGCTAAAGAAATCCTTGACAAACAATGCACAGTGCCAAACTGTCTGTCTGAAGAATAGGAGTTACAGGAACAATCAGAGCTATTTATAATTACAATTAAAATATTATAATTATAATTATAATTAAATGGAGTACATCCTGTGTTCCACATATTCTTGCTAAAGAAATCCTTGACAAACAATGCACAGTGCCAAGTTGTCTGTCTGAAGAATAAGAGTTACAGGAACAATCAGAGCTAGTAAAGGAGGTAAAAAGAAACCAGGACGGAAAGTGGGAAGTCTTAGTGCACTGGAAACATTTGCCTGACTTTGAGGACTCTAGGGAGGTTCTAAATCAATTCAAACAGCAATTCCCGGATTTTCACCTAGAGGAAAAAGTGGTTTTTAAAGGAGAGAGAGATGAAAGAGATCCAAACAAAACGGAACAGTCCATTATTAATATGGAAAGATTTTTCTAAAGTGTACTAAAGGCGCGGTAAAAAAGTAAATCAAGTAGTTGGAGAGGGAGGATGTCCTACCTGAATTGTATTGCGTGGAAAGGGGAAGGAATATTGCCGGGAAAAGAGGAGAGAAGAGGGAGGCTGTTAGACACTGGAATCGGGCGGGGGGAGGGGGGGGAGAAGCTCTTAAAAACTCTAGCTATCTTCATTATTTTACTGTATTTCTTCTTTTCTTCTTCTGTTGTAATTCGTGTAATTCGCATTCCGTTGATCCGGATTTTACTTTTAATATACAATTGCAGTGATTGGAGTTTAGTGTTCTATCAGCAATTCAGCACCCTCTGCACTAACCATATGACTATCTTATGCTCCAAAGAAGCCAAAGGAAAAAGGTACATAGTTAAAATAACACAATCTTTGAAATCTGTACCATCTGTCTAAGAAACTGTTATGTTCGTCTTATTCTTATTACTTATTGCTTATTTTATCTAGATCAGGTCAGATCAGAAAAATTCAGATCAAATCAGATAAGAAACATTCAGATCAGACCAGAAAGATTCAGATCAAATCATACCAGATCAGAAAAGGTCAGACATGATTTATCACTTTTATTATCATGATTATTATTATTATAATTATTATTGTTGCTATTATTATTACTATTATTATTATTTAGAACTATAATTATTAATATGAATATATAATTACAATTATAATTATAATTACTAAAATTTAATTTGTAATAATAACTATAATTATTATTATAGTTATTATACTTTTAATTATAATTACAATTAAAAGTATAACTATAATTACAATTAGAGTTATTATTACAAATAACATTTTAATAATTATAATTATAATTATAGATATGATTATAATTACAATTATATTTATAATTATAATTATAATTAAATGCAGTACATCCTGTGTTCCACATATCCTTGATAAAGAAATCATTGACAAACAATGCACAATCAGAGCTGGTAAAGGAGGTAAGAAGAAACCAGGGCGGAAAGTGGGAAGTCTTAGTGCACTGGAAACATTTGCCTGACTTTGAGGACTTTTGAGAGGTTCTAAATCAGTTCAAACAGAAATTCCTAGATTTTCACCTCGAGGACAAAGTGGTTTTTCAAGGAGAGAGTGATGATAGAGATCCAGACAAAACGGAAGAGCCCATTATTAATCATAAGGAAAGATTTTTCTAAAGTGTACCAAAGGCGGGGTGAAAGAGTAAATCAAGTAGTTGGAGAGGGAGGATGCCCTACCTGAATTGTATTACGTGGAAAGGGGAAGGAATATAGGCAGGAAAAGAGGAGAGAAGAAGGAGGGAGAGAGAGAGAGAGAGAGAGAGAGAGAGAGAGAGAGGCTCTTAAAAACTCTAGCTATCTTCATTATTTTACTGTATTTCTTCTTCTTCTGTTGTAATTCTTGTAATTGGCATACTGTTGATCTGGATTTTACTTTCAATATACAATTGCTGTGATTGGAGTTTAGTGTTCCATCAGCAATTCAGCACCCTCTGCACTGCCCATATGACTATCTTATGCTCCAAAGAAGCCAAAGGAAAAAGGTACAAACATAGTTAAATAACACAATCTTTGAAATCTGTACCATTTGTCTAAGAAACTGTTATGTTCGTCTTATTCTTATTACATATTGCTTATTTTACCTAAATCAGGTCAGATTAGAAAAATTCAAATCAAATCAGATAAGAAACATTCAGATCAGACCAGAAAGATTCAGATCAAATCATACCAGATCAGAAAAGGTCAGGCATGATTTATCAGTTTTATTATCATGATTATTATTATAATTATTATTATTGCTATTATTATTACTACTATTATTATTTAGAACTATAATTATTATTATGAATATATAATTACAATTATAATTATAATTACTAAAATTTAATTTGTAATAATAACTATAATTATTATTATAGTTATTATACTTTAATTATAATTACAATTAAAGGTATAACTATAATTACAATTAGAGTTATTATTACAAATTACATTTTAATAATCATAATTATAATTATAGATATGATTATTAATACAATTATATTTACAATTACAATTATAATTATAATTATAATTATAATTATAATTATAATTAAATGCAGTACATCCTGTGTTCCACATATCCTTGATAAAGAAATCATTGACAAACAATGCACAATCAGAGCTGGTAAAGGAGATAAGAAGAAACCAGGGCGGAAAGGGGGAAGTCTTAGTGCACTGGAAACATTTGCCTGACTTTGAGGACTTTTGACAGGTTCTAAATCAGTTCAAACAGAAATTCCCAGATTTTCACCTTGAGGACAAAGTGGTTTTTGAAGGAGAGAGTAATGATAGATCCAGATAAAACGGAAGAGCCCATTATTAATCATAAGGAAAGATTTTTCTAAAGTGCACCAAAGGCGGGGTGAAAGAGTAAATCAAGTAGTTGGAGAGGGAGGATGCCCTACCTGAATTGTATTACGTGGAAAGGGGAAGGAATATAGGCGGGAAAAGAGGAGAGAAGAGGTAGGCTGTTAGACACTAGAATCGGGCATGCGGGGGGGGAAGAGAGAGAGAGAGAGAGGAGAGAGAGAGAGAGAGAGAGAGAGAGAGAGAGAGAGAGAGAGAGAGAGAGAGAGAGAGAGAGAGAGAGAGAGAGAGAGAGAGAGAGAGAGAGAGAGAGAGAGAGAGAGAGAGAGAGAGAGACTCTTAGAAACTCTAGCTATCTTCATTTTTTTACTGTATTTCTTCTTTTCTTCTTCTGTTGTAATTCGTGTAATTTGCATTCTGTTGATCGGGATTTTACTTTCAATATACAATTGCAGTGATTGGAGTTTAGTGTTCCATCAGCAATTCAGCACCCTCTGCACTGCCCATATGACTATCTTATGCTCCAAAGAAGCCAAAGGAAAAAGGTACAAACATAGTTAAATAACACAATCTTTGAAATCTGTACCATCTGTCTAAGAAACTGTTATGTTCGTCTTATTCTTATTACTTATTGCATATTTTATCTAGATCAGGTCAGATCAGAAAAATTCAGATCAAATCAAATAAGAAACATTCATATCAGACCAGAAAGATTAAGATCAAATCATACCAGATCAGAAAAGGTCAGGCATGATTTATCACTTTTAATATCATGATTATTATTATTATAATTATTATTATTATTGCTATTTTATTACTATTATTATTATTTAGAACTATAATTATTATTATGAATATATAATTACAATTATAATTATAATTACTAAAATTTAATTTGTAATAATAACTATAATTATTATTATAGTTATTATACTTTTAATTATAATTACAATTAAAGGTATAACTATAATTACAATTAGAGTTATTATTACAAATAACATTTTAATAATTATAATTATAATTATAGATATGATTATAATTATAATTACAATTATAATTATAATTATAATTATAATTATAATTAAATGTCGTACATCCTGTGTTCCACATATCCTTGATAAAGAAATCATTGACAAACAATGCACAGTGCACAATCAGAGCTGGTAAAGAAGGTAAGAAGAAACCAGGGCGGAAAGTGGGAAGTATTAGTGCACTGGCCTTACTTTGAGGACTTTTGAGAGGTTCTAAATCAGTTCAAACAGAAATTCCCAGATTTTCACCTTGAGGACAAAGTGGTTTTTGAAGGAGAGAGTGATGATAGAGATCCAGACAAAACGGAAGAGCCCATTATTAATCATAAGGAAAGATTTTTCTAAAGTATACCAAAGGCGGGGTGAAAGAGTAAATCAAGTAGTTGGAGAGGGAGAATGTCCTACCTGAATTGTGTTACGTGGAAAGGGGAGGGAATATAGGTGGGAAAAAAGGAGAGAAGAGGCAGGCTGTTCGACACTGGAATCAAGTGGGGGAGAGAGAGAGAGGCTCTTAAAAACTCTAGCCATCATCATTATTTTACCGTATTTCTTCTTCTTCCATTGTAATTCGGATTCTGTTGATCCGGATTTTACTTTCAATATACAATTACAGTGATTGCAGTTGAGTGTCCTATCAGCAATTCAGCATCCTCTGCACTAGCAATATGGCTATCTTATGCTCCAAAGAAGCCAAGGGAAAAGGTACACTGGACCGAGGAAACGGTCCAGCCCAGCTGGTTGCCGACTCACTCTCCCTTATGGGAGGTCCCCGGGTTCAATTCTCAATGGAGTGAGATTGATCCCAGTTTACCCCTGCCCCCCCCCCCAAACCCCCTCCCCCTGACACCCCCTGTGGTATTTTTTTTTTAAAAAAAAAAGGGGACAAACAAACATAGTTAAGAAACACAATCTTTGAAATATGTCTAAGAAACTGTTATGTTCGTCTTATTCTTATTACTTATTGTTTTTTTATTCAGATCGGGTCAGATCAGAAAAATTCAGATCAAATCAGATAAGAAACATTCAGATCAGACCAGAAAGATTCAGATCAAATCATACCAGATCATTAAAGTTCAGACATGATTTATCACTTTTATTATCATGATTATTATTATAATTATTATTATTACTATTATTATTATTTACAGCTATAATTATTAATATGAATATACTTATAATTACAATTATAGTTCTATTTACTAAAATTTAATTTATAGTAATAACTATAATTGTAATTATAGTTAGTATTATACTAATTATATTTATAATTACAATTAAAAGTATAATAACTCTAATTACAATTAAAGATATTATTACAAATTACATTGTAATAATTATAATTATAATTATAATTATAGATATAACTATAATTACAATTATATTTATAATTACAATTAAAATAATAATTATAATTGTAATTATAATTATAATTATAAATTTAATTATAATTATAGTTATAGCAAAAATTGTAATCATAATAATTGCATTTGTAGTTATAATATAAAACTCATAATTATACAATAATAATTATAGTTATAATATAATTATATAAAATAATAATTAGGGGTTTGTCCTCAAATAATACTAATTAAAAGCATTTGGACAAAAAAAGAGACTTTTCTTTTAAGTTCCAAAAATAAGACTAAATAATACTTAAGGGACTATTACACCCTTACTAAGCCCAAACCCACTGACCTACTACAGTAACTCGTCACAGTGACCAAATGTGCAGTGACCAATGTTACAGTTACCAATGACATAGTTACAAAATTCATCCAGTGATCAAAAATCATTAGTGACCAAAAATTCAAAATTCAACAGTGACCAGCCGCCAGTTACCAAAATGTTGTCAGTGACCAAAACGATTTCTGTGACATCCCCGTTGGTGACCACCCGGTCATGACTCATGACAGTTACATTACCGTCTTAGTTACAATTACACAAACTCCCAGTTGCAATGACATCATCGTGGGAATAACCATTACATCAGTTAGCTAGAGTCACCGCCTCTGCCGGGACCGTTGTTGCCCGCCGCCGCCCGGCGGTGACCGCTTCCACTCCTCGCCCACTAGCTCCCCAGCCCTCCTCCTGTCCCCCCAGACCCCTGCTCAGCCCCCAACTATGCCACGCCATCCCACCACAGGTCCACCGCCAGGCACCAGCACCTTCCGCCGCCGTTAAACACCAATCCCGTCACTTGCATCCGCCCTCCGATGACCAACCCCGATTCAAAGCCCCTTCCACACCCTCATACCCTACCCAGCCCCGGCCACTTGTCCTAATCCCTTGCCTAAGATGACAAATAGGCATCGTTACAGAGCATAGAAAAAAGAAGGAAAAGAATGGCAAGAAGAAGAAGAATTAAATCTAGATCTAGATCTAGATTTAGCGATGGAGATGAGAAGAGTAGCGGAAGGCATCATTAAACTCCGTCGTTGCAACCAAGCGGTGTAATGTCGTCTTCAGTCGACCACTATCGCCTTCCATCGCCTGACCCATCGAGCAGCCCCTGGATTCTCCGTCGTTGAAGCCCTCTGTGGAAAGAAGATGCAAGGATTCTCCCTGAATAGATGGTGGACGAAGGATAATCAGGGATTCAGGAGCAGATCTATTTAATTAGGGGTAACTTAGCCATTTCATCTATTTTTACTCTTGTTTTTGTCCTAATCGAAGAGTTGTCTTACTTTTGTCCGCGTAAGAGTCAGGAGTATTATTTAGGTCTTTATTTCTAATAATTATAATTGCAATTAAAATTATCATTAGATTATAATTATTGTAATTATAATTGTAATTTTGATTATAATTACAATTATATATTTATAATTTTAGTACAACAATCATAAATGTAGTTATAATTTTAATTATTTTTATAATTATAGTTATGAATACAATTACAATTATAATAATAATAATAATTATTATTATTATTATGTTGATCACAATAATAATAATAGTAGTAGTAATAGTAATAATAATGATGATGAGGATGATGATGACGACGACAATGACGATTTGATCTGGTCATCTGAGTCGTTTTTATCTGATCCGAATCCTTCTGTCTCAATCTTTCTGATATGATTGAGTGTTTATTAAATAAGATCAGAAAGATTCAGATCAGATCAAATTAGACCAGATCGGAAAAATTCAGATCTGGTTAGATCAGAACTTAGATTAGAAACATTAAGATCAGGCCAAGAGAACATCTTTTGATACTAAAGAAATGTCTGCTTGTTTACCGTTGAATAAAATTGCCCCGACCTCTTAAGACATAGAACTCTAAGTATATTCTCTATTCACTATTAGATACAAAGTAGACATATGATCTTAGTAACGAAGATATACCAGATGAATCGAGCTGAAGCACCGTAATACCTCTTCAATATCTGAAATTGAATATCAGATATTCGTGAGCATGAGAGAGCCAATAAATCATCATGAAGTCATGATAAAGCAATTCATAAGTCATACAACAACTTGCTTTTATTCTTAAGCCATAACAGAACAGTGACACGTGATCACTCAATTAGATGGCACAACTTAAGGGAGTGAGAAGGCATCGTTAGAACTACCAGCCCTCTTACAAGCAGCAGCAGCAGCCGATGTTGGACTCAAAGTCATTATCCCACAACCCAGAACTTGAGCTCACATATAAGCGAGGTAACAGATGGTCCCAGAGGATGTGGCGCACACAAAAGGGTGACGTGGAGGCAGGCCTGGATCTGGAAAATGTGAGGCCCTGTTCAAAATAAAAACACAGGCCTTAATACTTGATACAAAAAAGAATAATAAAATAAATACTAGCATCCAATAGGAGGAAATATTTTTCCATCATTTGCAATGAAACAAAAGATTCACTATTTTTGGCTTGTGAATATGATGGAATAAAGCAAAATGGCTCACTAAACTGTCTGCGCTTCTTTGTTATGAAGCAGCAGCCAGCTCTTGCAATTCTCGACGCGATTTTCACCATGGGTCATCCGGAAACAGTCTCTCTGTGCTTTCGTACGGGGTATGACTGCGTACATCCGACCCCCCCTTACTCCACTGTAGGTAGGAGCCTTTGCGGCACTAGGATAATGATGATATCCAATAGGAGGAAATATAAGTTTCTAAATTATAAATTTATCTTAACCTATTTTAATAAAGGCGCAGATTTTTCATTAAATGCTCATTTCTCTGTTAACCCCTTTTAAGCTTCGTTTTATCTTGAGGTACATTGTGCTATTGATGACGTACGATAACTATTATGCATTACTAAAACGTTAAAAAATCGTTAATTCATTAACTGTGTGTAAGTCCACCAGGTTGAGCAAAAATTAATACAGATTGTTTCTTTTCTTTGAATACGTTTGTAAAACCCAAGCTAAATGGTTATTCAACCTCCATTCCAGAAGTCGGAGCATCGAAATTTAATTCTTACTCAATGAAATTTCATAGGGGTGGGCATAACGGTTTGGTTTAACCATACCAAATCGAACCGAACCGGACCGTATGCAATTTGGTTTGAGTTTGATATTATTTTTTCCAACCCGTATTAAACCAAATCGAAACCGAACAAAATCGAACCGAACTAACGAAATTCAAAAAAAAAACTTTCATATATTATTAAAAATTAACAAATCCAAACTGAACTAAACCGAACCAAACCGAAAAATTGTACTATCCTCCATTTTTATTTAGATGCAACATAGCATCATGGCACACAAATTAAGAAACATGGATAAAATAATTGTTTTCCCCTTTGTACCCTTTTGCAATGAAAAACAAGTCTCTTAAGACCTCATATGCATTTACGGTCCATAAAAGGACATGATATACAAAAAGTACAATAGTACCATCTACAATCCAAAAAGTGACTGTCACTTCCTACTTTTAGAAGTACTTTTAGAAGAAATCAGAATATGAAGTGAAGAAATTGAAATTAGAAGTGGGTGGATAAAATTAAAAGAAAGGAGCGGAAACCGAGTTAATAAAACAGATGTGGTGGGTGTGAATTAATTGAGGGTAGTAAAGACATTTGCACACCATTTTATGTCTTAAAATAGAAAGGTTGCAATTAATTTGAAACTTCCCAAAAAGGAAAGTGTTGCAACTAAAAAAAAACGGAGGGAGTATGTTTTTTGTTTGATAATAATTCTTCCAACCCGAACCAAACCAAAACCGAAAAAAAAACTGAACAGAAAACCGATATGCCCAGCCCTAAAATTTCAGTTTCAGTAGATTTTAATCTCTTGCTCCACTGTCTATAAATGGTGTTTCCATTAGGTTTCTTGTCTTTTTTTCACATGGCATGGTCAACAATCAACATTTTGTATGTTAGTTTGCTATTCTTCTGAAATAGTTGATGTTTATTTATTATTCCCATTGATTTCCATTGATAGATGAATGCTCTTTAACTGCAACTCTTTTCCTAGTCTTAATTAGTTAATTTGGAGCGGTTTATTCTTTACTTGTGTTTGTTTTCCAGTTTTCTATTTAAGCTTCTTTTAGTGTAAATAAATCTTAAACCTCCGCTGCTTGCAATCCATTCTGAATTCACATGGAAGCACTTATAGTTACCTACATAGGAGTAGAACTTCACATAAAAATACACAATTAAAGCATGTAATAGGTAATCCATTTAAGGAGGGGGGGATTTCCCAAAAAAAAAAAACAATGAAAATTTACAAGGCTATTCTCACAAACTCTTTCTTTGAATGGTGCCAACATTAATATCAAGAGATAAACCTTATACTAGACACTTCAAAAAAGTATAATGCGTACTAAATGATAAGTGAATTTATGTGATAATATCATATACAAATAGCAAAGAAAGCCACTAGTCT